TCCAACTATACGATACTCTGGAAAAGGCAGCACTATGGAGACAATAAAAAGAATGATAGTTATAACAGGCTGGGGAGGAGGGATGAACAGGCAGAAAAGAGGATTTTTAGGGCAATTAACTCTATTCTGTACCATACTATAATGATGGATACATTTCATTATATATTTTCCTAAACCCATAGAATGTCCAACATCAAGAGTAAACCCTAAAGTGGGGGGAGGTAGAAGAAGGTAAAGGGGGAATAAGTAGTGATAGAAGGAGGCTTGACTTTGGATAGTGAACACACAATACAATATTTAGATGATGCATTATAGAATCGTACTCTTGAAACCTATATAATTTTATTAACCAATTTATTGAACTAATAAATTCAATAAAAAATTTTTTTTAGAAGAGTGACCCCTAAGGTGAACTGGACATTGGGTAATTATGACGCGCCAATTCAGGTTCATCAATTGTAACAACATACCGCTCTGGTGGGGGATGTTGATAATATGAAAGACTATAATAGGATAGGAAATAGCTGTAGTTTTCTCTCAATTTTGCTTGGACCTAAAAATGCTCTAGTAAAATAAAGGGGTTTTTTCCCCCCAGTTTTGAGATGTAATTGACATACATCACTGTGTAAGTTTAAGATGTACAGCATAATGGTTTGACTTAGATTATGAAATGATTATATGTTTTTAGCCTCCATCCTCTCATGTAGATACAATTAAAAAAGAGAGCAAGCCCTGACTGCTGTGGCTCAGTAGATTAAGTGCCGGCCTGCGAACCAAAGGATCACTGGGTTCGATTCCCGGTCGGGACACATGCCTGGGTTGCACACCAGGCCCTCAGTAGAGGGCATGTGGGAGGCAACCACACAACGATGTTTCTCTCCCTCTCTCACTTCCTTCCCCTTCTCTAAAAATAAATAAAATCTTTATAAAAAGATAACAAAAATGAAAATTTTTTTCCTTCCAATGAGAACTCAGACCTTACAGTCTTCGTAAGTCCCTTTTTTGTTTCTATTATTTTTAATTTTTATTTATTTTAATTATATTTTATTGATTATGCTAGTACAGTTGTCCCACTCCATCCAACACCCCCCCCTCAGGCAGTCCCCCACCACTGTTCCTGTCCATGGGTCATGCATACACGTTCTTTGGCTGCTCCATTTCCTATATTGTACCTTACATCCCCATGGCCATTCTGTAATTATCCATTTGTACTTCTTAATCCCCTCATCTCTTTGCCCTTTCCCCACACCCCCCACCCGTCTGGCAACCATCAAAATGCTCTCCGTATCTATGATCCTGTCTCTATTCTTCTTGTTTGCTTAGTTTGTTTTTTAGATTCAATTGTTGACATGTATTTATTGCCATTGTATTGTTTATAGTTTTGATCTTCTTTTTCTTAAATAAGTCCCTTTATATTTCAGGTTATAATGGTTTGGTGATGATGAACTCCTTTAGTTTTTTTCTTGTCTGGGCAGCTATTTATCTGCTCTTCTAAATGATAGCTTTGCTGTGTAGAGCAATCTTGGCTGTGGGTCCCTGCATTTCATGACTTAGAATATTTCTTGCTAATCCCTTCTAGCCTGCAAAGTTTCTTTTGAGAAATCAGCTGACAATCTTATGGAAACACCCCCGTAGGTAACTAACTTCTTTTCTCTTGCTGTCTTTTAGAGTCTCTCTTTATCTTTGTCCTTCGGCATTTTAATTATGATGTATCTTGGAGTGGGTCTCTTTGCATCCATCGTATTTGGGATTCTCTGTGCTCCCTGGACTTGCATGTCTATTCCCTTCACCAAATTAGGGAAGTTTTCTTTCATTATTTTTTCAAATAGACTTTCAATTTCTTGCTGTTTCTCTTCTCCTTCTGGCACCCCTATGATGAGAATGTTGGAATGCTTGAAGTTGTCACAGAGGCTGCTCATACTATCCTCATTTTTTTGGATTCTTTTTTTCTTCTCTTAGATTCTCTTTTTGTTCTGCACGATTAGGTTGTTGTTTTTTTTTTTCTTCCTATGTTCCAAATCATTGATTTGATTCTTGGCTTCATTTGCACTGCTGCCATTTCCCTGTAAATTGCTCTTTATTTCAGTTAGTGAATACTTCATTTCTGACTGGATCTTTTTTATGCTGTTGAAGTCCCCACAAAGTTCCTTGAGCATCCTTATAACCAGTGTTTTGAACTCTGTTTCTGATAGATGGCTTATCTCCATTTTGTTTAGTTCTTTTTCTGGAGTTTGGATCTGTTCTTTCATTTGGGCCATGTTTTTTTGTCTCCTCATTTTAGCACCCTCCCTGTGTTTGTTTCTATGTATTAGATAGAGCTGCTATGACTCCGTCTTGGTAGTGTGGCCTAACATAGTAGGTATCCTGTAGGGTCCAGTAGCATAGCCTCCCCTATCACCCAAACTGGGTACTTGAGGTATGCCCTTCATGTGCACTGAGTATACCCTCCTCTTAGACTTGAGCCTTGATTGCTGTTGGCAGGTCAGTGGGAGGGATTTACGCATGTCAGCCAGCTGCAAGGATTGGCTGTGACCACTTAACCACCATCCTCCGCCCTCCATGGAGGATCAGCTGTGCAGGGGCAGGGTGGGAGTTCTCCAACGTGGTCTGTACTTCACCACTGGGTGTGCAGGCTCTTGGATTTTCCAAGTAGTGTAGGCCAAGGTCAGCCCCGACCTGTGTTTTGCCCAGAGCCACCCTGCCTGGGCTATAAAGCAATCTGAGGTGGTTGCTACTTGTACTGGGCTTAGGGACTCCCAGGCAAAGCCAAACTGTGAATCTAAGCTGGCTGCTGCTAGTGCCACACCTAGTGCCACACCTGGGGCCACTTAGCAAGACATGCAGTGGCTGGGGGCTCACTGACACTGACTGTTGCTTGTTTGAAAGGATTCAGGAAGTTGTGAAGCATGAACCAAGATCAGCCATTCATGTGGAACAGTATGTTAACAGCCTAAGTAGGCCCTTAAGTTGGGTGGGATGGAGTTTCTAGGGATCTCCAGGGAGGGGCAAACAGTGTTAGCCAGGTTGATGGAGTCTCAGATATGGCACCCACCTACCAGCTCTGTGGCTCTGTGGGGGAAGGGTTCAGAAGAGGGACAATGGCCCTTCTATCTGGGAGAAAGCTGTCCCCCAGCTCTCACCTTGATGCCAGACCCTTGACTTACTCCCTGTATGTCACTGGTGCCTTTTAAGCAGCTACCCAGGTACCCTAGCTCAGAGGGAATGAGTCTGCGTAGGTGAGTCCGTATGTGGGTTCTTTAAGAGGAACTGCTTGGGACTCCAGATTTCTTCCACCAACTCAATCCCCACCGATTTTTGCAGCCAAAAGTTATGGGGACTTAGCTTCCTGGCACTGGAACTCTGCGCTGGGGGCCTGGTATGGGGCTGGGACTCACTTCCCAGGTATCCTTCCCAAATTTTTGTCCACCACCAATGGGGGGTAGGGCCAGTCCATTCTGCATCTGTTCCCCTCCTACCAGTCATGATGGAAGAGGTTTCTTTAATTCTGTATTTGTCAGATTTCCATTCAATTGGATTTATGACAGTTTTGAGTGACCACTGTTCTATAATTTTGTTGTAATTTTGATGTGGTTATGCAAGGAAGTGAGCTGTGTTTACCTATGCTGCCATCTTGACCAGAAGTCTTGGTAAATTTCATATGCTATACAGCAATGCTAACTACAATCATCACGCTATTAGACTCCTACTATTTATTTACCTTGTAACTGGTAGTTTGTACCTTTTGACCACCTTTCTCTAATTTTGCAAACCCCCATCATTCCCAAGAATTTCTTTTTTAAGTTCACCTGCTTTAAAATCATATTTTCAAAGTCTGAGAAAAGCATCCTCTAATTTGGAACTTCCTTGAAGATTACAATGGAGAAAACAATTACAGAATGCAGAAATTTATATTGTTTCTCCAAAATTCTTTTCTTGAGAGAGAAACACTGATTTGTTGTTCTTCCCATTCATGCATTTATTTGGTTGACTCTTGCATGTGCCCTGATGGGGAATGAGACTTACAACCTTGTGTATCCAGACCATGCTCTAACAAACTGAGCTACACTACCAAGGACCAAAATTCTTTGAAGAGGTGATATGGAGCCCAGACAAAGAACTGACTGCCACTAAGCTGTTCAGTGTTGACAAAAACTCATACAGCAAAAAATAGTAATAACAACTCATTTTTGAAATATGACTGCTTCAGAATTCAAAAATGTCACGAGAAAAGGAAAGTCAGTCAAATTAAATAGAACATTCTCAGTGTCCTATGTATGTGGAATCCAACTTTGATTTCACAACTTCAAATTATCTCTGTGCTTTAGAACCATTCTACCTAAGAAGGAAGGTTTCATTTATACTACAAAATGGGACAGAAGTAAATGTCATCGTTAGTTTACTAAATACAGAATATTATCTAAGTCCTGTTGCATTTAAGTTCTTTCACAAAATCTCACATTTATGTATCTTAAGAATATGCCACTATATAGCCTGGAAATTTAAATATCCAACAAAAAATTGGAAAAGTAGTTCAACTAGCCCTCATTGGCTGGTGTGGCCCACTGTGTTGAGCATCTTCCAACAAACTGAAAGATCGCCGGTTCCATTCCCAGTCAGGCGACATGCCTGGCTTTGGGGCCTAGGTCCCCGGTTGGGTGCGTACGAGAGGCGGCCAACTGATGTTTTGGTATTTCTCTCCCTCTCTTTCTCCCTCCCTTCTCACTCTCTAAAATAAATAAATAAAATATTTCTTTTTAAAGTAGTACAAATAAATTGCTGTTATTAGAGGACACAAAGAAACACTAAAAAGTCTTATACCTTCTCCCATGTATTGTTTAATTAATCCTACTATAATTACTAATTGTCAGTTAAGTAGTTCTATTGTGGTTTTGTTCAAATAGCGTTTATGTAACAGGAAATGACACAGAATGACATAGCATTTCTAATAAACACAAAATTTTCATATCTGTGTGTGTAATTATCCATTACGTGCTGGCTCCTGTCCAACGAGGTTGTGTCCTTTGCCAGCTCTCCAACCCGCCCTCCCCAGCCCTGTCCAGGTGATGAGCCTAGGATCCACCCATCACAAGCCCCGCCCTCACAAATCCGGAATCTTCAACGTGTCGAAGACCAGTTGCCCGAAGGCCGGCACCTCCCTGACGGGCTCGCCTTCGCAACGCACAGGCTCCGCCACTGTTTACCCAGACAGGCCGAAGTCCGTACGGTCACGGAGGAGGGCCAGCGGCTTCCGGTTCAGATTGTCCTGGCGGCGCACAGCCAGCTTTGCCTCGTCTTTTCTGGTCTCAGTCCGGCGTGGCAGGGCCCGCAGCGGCCTCAGCCCTTTCAGAGCTCCTCTGTCATGGCGGCGCCCTGCCGCTCCTTCCGACCAAGCTTTTCATGGCGGCACCCTGGTTAGTCACTTATGGACCCAGCCCCTCATCCTTCCCTGGCTCTTGTTACTCCCGGCTGCCATGGCGGCGCCCAGGGTTCACCGGAAGTAAAACTTTGAATGTGAGGCGGGGCCTCTGCCCGGAAGCAAGCGCCGCGCTGGGAAAGATGGCGGCGGCGGTGGGCAACGCGCTTCCTTGTGGGGCCCGATCTTGTGGTGCTCGGCCCGGCGGGCAGCCCAAGCCCGTGCAGCAGCCACGCACGCTCCTTGCAGCCGGGCCGGCGCTCATAGCGAGCGGCGACGAGCTGGTCGCCGCCGTGTGGCCATACCGGCGACTGGCGCTGTTGCGGCGCCTGACGGTGCTGCCGTTCGCCGGGCTGCTCTATCCGGCCTGGCTGGGCGCCGCGGCCGCAGGCTGCTGGGGCTGGGGCAGCAGCTGGGCGCAGATCCCCGAGGCGGCGTTGCTAGTGCTTGCCACCATCTGCCTCGCGCACGCGCTCACCGTCCTTTCGGGGCATTGGTCCGTGCACGCTCACTGCGCGCTCACCTGCACCCCGGTAAGTGCGCGGGCAGGAGCCCGACCCCCACACGGTCGGGTCTCGCGGCGGGTGGCAGCCACGGCGTTTTTGTCGATCCCCAGCCTGGCCCGGGCCTCCCATCTGCTGGGCCTAGGTCCCCAGCGGCTCCCTTAACCCTTTAGCGCTGACATAATTTTGGTTTCACTATTGACCTGCTGTGCGACCCTGGCACAGGTTTCTTCCATCCTTTGGAATTCCTCCCGGTGTTGTCATTTAGATCCCGTAATTAGATACCTGTATTTAGATACCTGTATTTAGATACCTGTATAAATCTTAGCGCAGGACCCAACACGTGTCGCTGTTTGATAGCTCCCATCCTGAGCGAACTCCGTTGTTTCTGCTGGAAACAGTCCTACCTTCCTTGTCGCCTGCCTCCCACCTTGATTTTCAAAGTGTGAGGCTAGACCTGCCAAGTGAGGTTTTCTGTCTGTGAAGTTTGGTTTGAAAACTGAACATCAGTCCAGCTGTCCACTGCTCAGAGGCCTCCGGTACTGTGACCAAAACGAGCTTGAAATGCTGGTAGTAGCGTGTGAGAGGAGCAAGGAGCTATTTGTGAGCAAGTGACTTAACTGCTTGGGGTCTCTTTATGTCTCTCTGCAAGATGAGGGTGATGGTGGCATAGGCTGCTGTCAGAATGTGATCCTTAGCCCCACATGATGGAGATAAGTGAGAAGTGCCCTGGGTCAGCAGTTGATACCCGTGACTGTGCCACCGCTCTCTGGGCCTGCCTCAGATGCCTCCGGCAGGTTTGGAGCGATGGACGCAGAGGTCAGCCTCCAACCAGCCTCCCCTCTAATCCCAGGTGGGTGTCTGCTGAAAGAAGAAGGAAAGGAAACAGCACCAGGGGCTGCAGAAAGAGACAGGAACCCCCGTCTTTGACTCTGAATGTGGACTGGATCCCCTTTCTCTTCTGAGTGTAATCTCCCTTCTACCAACAAGCCTTAGTCCAGGGGAGCAGCTCAAACTTTTGGGCTTGGTGGATTCAAGTCAGTACGGTGGAAGACCCTAGCAAGGGACAGGAAAAGGGAAGGAGGTTAGAGGGAGTCTGACACCCCCTGAACTTCCGGCTGCCTTTTGGCCTGCATCTTAAAAGTGCTACTTAACTTCCTTTCCAGGGATGGAGAACAAGGAGGAGCTAGGCAGCTGCAGGGTTAGGACAGATAGATCTGGGTTTGTATCAGAGATCTCAGACACCAGAGTTTCAGTTTCCTGGTTTTCAGTTTCCCCTTTTGTAAAGTAAGAACCGTAACACCGACCTTAGGATGCCATTGTGAGAAGAAATGTGGCATCTGCAAAGCTCCTGGTATGGGGCTGACCCATGTAGCACTTTGCACTTTTCTTCCATGGCGTTACCAGAGAGAGAGAGAGAGAGAGAGTGTGTGAGAGAGAGAGAGATTATTTTCTACCTGCTTCTGTTGCCCATGAACCCTCCAAGGATCGGGGCCTTGTTTTTCATGGTCACTGCTGTGACACCTTCCCTCCCTCCAACGCGCAGCCACAAACCAGCGGTGGGATGGATGCAGCTCCTGACGGAAGGGGTGCTCATTGAGCTCCCTTCGGTGCTTCCACATCGTAGGTGCTGAGGAAACAGCAGTGGACAAAACAGACAAAACCCATTCGTTGCCTACATGGCGGTGTCAGTGGGGGAGAGTTGTCCTCGGTAGTCAACGCTAAAGAGAGAGAAAATAGGGATGAGGATAGTAATGTGGTGACAGAACTTCACATGGGACATTCAGGAGGCTCCCTGAGGAGAAGATATTCAGGCAAAGGCCTGAAAGCTGTGTGCCCACATGTTGCAGACAGAACAGCTTGGACCAAGCTCCTTAGCTGGGGCAAGGACTCACGGCTCCTTCTTGCTGGAGGACACAGCAAGAATAGTAATGGGGTTGGGGAAGGAAGCCAAGCATCAGTAGACCAAGTGGGCTTTGACAGGGCTTGGTTCACACGGATCAAGGGTTGCTCCTCATGCTGGGCAGTGTTCTTCCTACAGAGGGGGTTGAGAAGGGCTCAGCAACATCGCTTTGCCTCTCACAGGAGTACGATCCCAGCAAAGCGACCTTCGTGAAGGTGGTCCCGACCCCCAACAATGGCTCCACTGAGCTCGTGGCCCTGCACCGAGATGAGGTAGGGACCACCTGCCAGGCTGCCCAGTGCAGGACTTGGGAGAGATTCCCAGGCACTGACAACCCCGGTCGAGGGCCTCTGCCACAGACGAGCCTTCTGCCACAGGGTGAAGACGGGCAGGAGGTACTGTCCTTCGAATTCCAGAAGATCAAGTATTCCTACGATGCCCAGGAGAAGAAGCGCTTCCTCCCCGTGGCCTTTCCTGTGCGTAACTCATTCTCTTACTACCAGAGCTACAGGGGGTTCCAGGAGGACTCGGAGATCCGCGCCGCTGAGAAGAAGTTTGGGAGTAACAAGTGAGTCCTGACATCCCCATGTGTCCCCCCTGCTGGCAGGGCTGGACCTCTGCCAGCGGTCACAGGCCTTGAATCGTCTCAGAGGCCAGTGGCCCCTTTACTGTTTCTGCTCCTTCGCACTCCCGGCTCAGGGTACCTGAGATGGGAGGGGGAGGAGTCTACCTTTTCAACGAAACATCTCAGGTGAAAGTGGCGTCCTTAGAGGAACGTGCTCTAGCCGAGTCTCCCCTGAATCTGCCTGCTGACAGGAACCTCCTGGTAGAGCTCTCGGCCAGGAACCCTTCCTGGGGGGCCTGGCCCATGGCACACAAGACTTGGCTGTTGATCCTCGTCTTGTTTTTGTAATTCCCATTTTCATCTTAAATTCTTTCTTTGCCCCGGCCAGATAGTTCAGTTGGTTAGAGTGTCATCCCAACACACCAAGGTGCGGTTCGATCCCCAAGCAGGGCACATACAAGAATCAACCGGCGAATGCATAAATAAGTGGAACAAGAAGTAAATCTCTCTCTCTCTCTCTCTCTCGCCTCTCTGCTTCCCCTCTCTCTCCAAAATCAATAAAAAAATAATAATTTTGAAGTTATTTTTTAAAATAATAAAAATAAAATCTTTAAATGTACGTTCTATTCAGCACTTAAAAAGAATGGTGATAAAAAAGAAGTCAGTGACAGGACAGCTCTTGATGGTATCGGGGAGGCCGGCAGGCGCTCCGTGGGCACATTCTTTAATCTTCACCAGAACTGCCAGTGACCACACGTGCCTGGCAGGGGCGAGGCGAACTTCAGAGCCCCTGTCCTGGCCACGTGACAGTCACCCTGAGAACCCGCAGAACCTCTAGGGAATTCTTTCTGGACTTAATCGTTTATCACAACTATCAATCTAATAGGAAGATTTATAAGAAATGTTTACCTGTTCCCATCTCCCCTACCCCGTCCTGGCTCCTTTAAAGGCAAAGAACACAAGACTGGGCGGGGTCAGTTTAGCATCACTGGGTTTTTCCTCACATCCCCCATCCAGGAGTCCACTACACACAGTGCTGCAGACCGTACCCTTAGCCCCTCTTCCCGCTTTCGTCTCACTCCTGCAGCTTTTATTCAGGGAGTTTGGGGGAAATTCTGGCTCCAGACCTCCCCTCTTAAAGGGAGGTGGGGCTCAGTCTTTCTTTCAGGCCCCGGGGTGGGGTGGCTCCGAGGCCCCTGGCAGCCCGGCCTCCTCCGCAGCTGCAGCTTCGAGGCTCCTGTTCCAGTCAAAAGCTTCTCCACTTGCTTTGTCTCCCGCCCAGATGATGGGTTCTTATCAGCCCCAGCTTGGGTGGGTGGGTGGGGGCTGTCTGAAGAGCTTGTTGCCATTCAAAAGCTTCATCTGGGTTCAGCAGAACAGAGGGCTGGGGGCGTCTGGCATGCCGACCCCAGTGCGGGAGGAGACCGCAGCTGAACATAGCATCCCGTCTAGAAGCTTGCCGAGGCTCCTCATTTCCTAGGGAGGCTGGCAGTGCCCCCAGGTAGGGGTGTCGGGCCTCCCAGCGTGAACAGGGCCTGGGGTCTGGTTTCTTGCAGGGCCGAGATGGTGGTACCCGACTTCTCAGAGCTGTTCAAGGAGAGAGCCACAGCGCCTTTCTTTGTGTTCCAGGTAACATAGCAGCTCCAGCCCTTCTCCCCACCCCATTCTTTAGGACTTTGATAGCCAGAGTGACCTGTGTCCAATTCCAGACCCAAAAACCTTGTCCTCAGGGGTCAGAGTCCGTGGGTAGAATGGCCCTTGGTGTACGTCCAGTTCTCAGCAGTCATCCTCATTGCGTTCCCGGGGCAGGTGTTCTGCGTGGGTCTCTGGTGCCTGGATGAGTACTGGTACTACAGTGTCTTCACACTCTCCATGCTGGTGGCCTTCGAGGCTTCCCTGGTTCAGCAGCAGATGCGCAACATGTCCGAGATCCGGAAGATGGGCAACAAGCCCCACATGATCCAGGTGCGGCCAGCAGGGTCCCTGTGGAGCCCCCGTCCCTGCTGAGATCCGCTGAGGTCTTGGCGGGCCTGGCACAGGTACGTTCCCAGAGGTGACCATGCACCACCCCTCACAGGTCTACCGAAGCCGCAAGTGGAGGCCCATTGCCAGTGACGAGATTGTGCCCGGGGACATTGTTTCCATTGGTGAGGCCCAGTTCTGCCCTTTCCCAGTGGCAGCTTAGCCCAGTGGCTACTGCCTCACCCTCTGGCGCTACCCCACAGGTCGCTCACCACAGGATAACCTGGTGCCATGTGACGTGCTGTTGCTCCGGGGCCGTTGCATCGTGGACGAGGCCATGCTCACGGGAGAGTCGGTGCCACAGATGAAGGTGTGGGGAAGGGGAGTCAGTCCACTCGGCTGTCTGGCCAGCCTATTCTCGGAGGGGCCGCTGGCCAGGAGAGTGCTGGGGTGCGGCCCAGGCTCACTTAGAGGAGACAGGGAGTCCTGGCCCAGGGGGCTGAAGGAGGCCGTGGGCGCAGCATCTGGACAGGGCTGCTGCATCTCCGCGCCCCGCACTGGTGGAAGCTGCGTGGGGGCGGGGCGGGGGGAGGTGAGAGTCCCAGAGCGTTGGGGCGTCCAGGCACCCTGACGGCTCAGACTGAGGTGGACTGAGGGATGGGGAGAGTTCTGGGACACGTGTGGAGCCCCCGTCCCTGCTGAGATCCGCTGAGCCAGGTGGGAGGCCTGTGAGGAGCAGGAGGGCTCCTCCAGCACTGGGCCAGCTCTCCAGAGACTGGGGGCGGGGAGGCCAGGGCAGAGCCAACTGTCGGCTTCACTGTCCTCCCCAGGAGCCCATTGAAGACCTCAGCCCCGACCGGGTGCTGGACCTGCAGGCCGACTCCCGGCTCCACGTCATCTTCGGGGGCACCAAGGTGGTGCAGCACATCCCCCCTCAGAAGGCCACCACGGGCCTGAAGCGTAGGTGCCTTGGGGGTTTCCATGGGTGTCCTCATCCGCCTCCCAACCCCCGCCATGTCTGCTTGGCCATGAGGGAGTCCAGACAGACGCGAGGACGCTGGCTCTGCTTGTTTCCACAGCGGTCGACAGTGGGTGTGTAGCCTTTGTCCTCAGGACCGGATTCAACACATCTCAGGTGGGACGTCTTGCCTGGCCCTGGGGGGTGGGCCCCGTGGCCAGTTGTGGACACTTGAGACGGTAGCCCTTTCAGACCCCAGGACATCCCCACCACATGCTCACTCTGACAGCAGGCACTGGCCAGAGGCCATGTGGAGGCGAGCCCCAAGCCAGGCCCGCTTTGCCTGGCTGAGGGTCTGGTGGGGGATAGACAGCGGACCAGCTGTTCGCACGTGTTTTGAGGTCATGCACAGAACTGAGCCCATAAATGCATTAAAGCAGCAAGAGCACTGACTGGTAGAGGTGATCGCCAGACCTCCTTCCAGGGACTCCTGCCCCCATCTCGGCCACTTCCTTCTCGCACCCCGGGCCTTGGCCACTGGTCCCCGTAGCTCCTGGCTGAGTTGGAGCCGGCTGTGCGGCCGTGGGGTCCCTGGAGTACGTGCATGGCGCGTGGCAGGTTGCAGGCCTCACTGGCGGGCCTGAGGCTGGGGCGCGCTGTCATCTGAGGGGGGACCTGGTCTCAATGCCCTCGGGTGGGGGAGGCCGCCGCCCCCACCCCCCAGGAAAGGCCTCTGGCTCCATTCTTCCAGGGCAAGCTGCTGCGCACAATCCTCTTTGGGGTGAAGAGAGTGACTGCCAACAACCTGGAGACCTTCGTCTTCATCCTTTTTCTCCTTGTCTTTGCCATCGCGGCGGCCGCCTACGTGTGGATCGAAGGTAAGTGCCACGTTCCCCACCAGGCTGCTGGGCCCCGTGCCCGTCAGCCCAGACTGGTAGGCCCTGCCTCCACAGGTACCAAGGATCCCAGCCGGAACCGCTACAAGCTGTTTCTGGAGTGCACACTGATCCTCACGTCCGTCGTGCCCCCCGAGCTGCCCATTGAGCTGTCTCTGGCTGTCAACACCTCCCTCATTGCCCTGGCCAAGCTCTGTGAGTGCCTGGGGCAGGGCCGGGGCGCCAAGGGGCTGGGGCCTGGCGGCGCCCCTGACCCTGGCTTCACCTCCCAGATATGTACTGCACGGAGCCCTTCCGAATCCCCTTTGCTGGCAAAGTGGAGGTGTGCTGCTTCGACAAGACTGGGACCTTGACCAGTGACAGCCTGGTGGTGCGAGGCGTGGCTGGGCTCAGGTGAGCATGGGGGTGGGGCCAAGAGGTACCCAGCCAGCAGCAGGAGGCCTTCTGGGAGCGCAAGGGCCTGACGGCTGCCCACCCACACCCCCAAAGCCCCTGTCAGAGGCCCTATTGTGGGAGTCTGATCCGAGGGCTCCCTGTGCGGCCTCAGTGAGTAACAGCTACATGAGAGTCACCTGGAGTTCCAAGCAGCTACCTGACATTTAGGGGCATCTGTGAGAAAAGTACAGGTGTCACAAGGACCAAATGAAACCCCGCCGCCCCTGAAGCAACTGGCACGGAATAGGGGGGCCCATACCTCCTCCTGGCTGGCAGCTCCCAGGGGTTCTGCCACGCTGTAACCCGCCGTTTCCCTCCCTTGCAGAGATGGAAAGGAGGTGACGCCCGTGTCCAACATCCCCGTGGAAACGCACCGGGCCCTGGCCTCGTGTCACTCCCTGATGCAGCTGGACGACGGCACCCTAGTGGGCGACCCCCTGGAGAAGGCCATGCTGACGGCCGTGGACTGGACGCTGACCAAAGGTGAGGGGCTGCGGTCTCGGGCCCAGTGCAGGCAGCTCTCACCCCCAGGCCGCAGGACAGGCCCCTCCGAAACTGCCGGGTATCCAGTTCAGGCTGGCGGGCGGGCACAGCCCCCTCTGACCTGGGACATACCACACCGTTGGGTGTCCCCCTGGGTTGGAACCCACCCCACCAAAGCTACAGGGCAGGGTCCTCCAAGGCCTGGTCTCAGCTCTGACGCCCTGGAGCCAGGAGCCCATAGGCCCTGGGTCTAGGGAGGGGGGTGGGAGGAAGGAGGGACAGGCGGGGGCCTGGCTACCTCTTTGGAGCGAAGGCCCTCAGGACTCGTGCTTATTTGTTTCCAGATGAGAAAGTATTCCCCCGAAGTATTAAAACTCAGGGGCTGAAAATTCACCAGCGCTTTCATTTTGCCAGTGCCCTAAAGCGAATGTCCGTGCTCGCCTCCTACGAGAAGCTGGGCTCCACGGACCTCTGCTACATCGCGGCTGTGAAGGGGGCCCCTGAAACCCTACACCCCATGGTGAGCTGAGCCCGGCCCTGGGGTTCGGGGCGGGGTGTCAGTGCGAGGCAGTCGGTGACATCTCCCTGCGTTCCCTGCAGTTCTCCCAGTGCCCACCTGACTATCACCACATCCACACGGAGATTTCGCGGGAAGGAGCCCGTGTCCTGGCCCTGGGGTACAAGGAGCTGGGGCACCTCACCCATCAGCAGGTAAGGGCCCAGGCTCCCCACCTGCAGGCCTCCCCCGCCCCCTCCACCACAGCCGCGTCACCGTGTACCCCCTCGGCGCCCCTGTGAGCAGGCACAGTTTCATCTTCCTCCTCCCCGGCCTCTGCCTTTGGAGATTGCAGGTGGCACTCAGTCCTCGGGCCCTCCTCCCCCGTGGTGCCGTGACTCCGTGGGACCCCAACCCATCCCAGTGCCTAGGGCTGCCACCACCCAGCCTCCTATCCCCCCACCCACGGGTCCTCACTCACCCTCAGGAAACGTCAGAAGACATCTTTGATTACTGTCTCCAGTCTAGCTCTGCCCCTGCCCAGCCCAGCCACCTGGTCACTGCACGGTTTGGGGACATCACCAGTCCTCAGTTGTACCACCACATGCCAGCAGCTCTCCTCCCACCTCCACTGCCAACATTCCTTTACCTGCTTCCACCTTGACCTTCATCCGGGCCACCTGCACCCAGTGGCTGAGAGACCCTTCTAGAACAAATGCCTGATCATATACCCACTCCTGCTCTGTGCCCCTGCCTCTGTCTCTTGATACTGTCTCTTGAGTATCTGTCTCATGATACTCAGCACTCTGAATCTGAGATTTTCCTTATTTCACGCCTCCCCCAATAGAGAAGCTTCATGAGGGCGGACATTTTTTGTTTCCTGGGATGAGTTAGAGGATGAGTGCATGCTGGGTGGTTAACAAAGAAGCGTTACTGAGCCAAGACATGAGACCTCTGTGACGATGTGCCATGTCCATTCCAGGAAATAGAAGTACCATTGGTGGCGGGGGCCACCCAGCCATTGCCAGGCCCCTGTCCCCCAAGAGAGGACAAGTCCTTCTCCGACCTCCCCACCCAGCACACTGTGGGAGCTCGGGAAATGGGGGAGGGTCAGGTCACAGTTGTGAGAGCCCCCATGTTTGTCCCCAGGCCCGAGAGGTCAAGCGGGAGGCCTTGGAGTGCAACCTCAAGTTTGTCGGCTTCATCGTGGTCTCCTGCCCACTCAAGGCTGATTCCAGGGCTGTGATCCGGGAGATCCAAAATGCCTCCCACCGGGTATGGCTGCTAGGCCCTCCACACCAGGCCCTCAGCAGGTGGGCGGGGGGTCTCCACTCCTCTTGCAGGCAGGAGGGTGTGACAGCAGAGGACACCTCCACCCTCGGTGGGGCAAATGGGTGCCTCCTTGGGCCCACAGCATCCGTGGCAGGCTGAGGCCGGGTCGGGGTGTGGGAGCAGTATCCAGACCGGTTATGTCTGTTTGTCTCGGTGCCTTTGGTGTCTTCATCCTGGTGGTTTGGGGTGTCTAGTCGGGCACTCGCGATACAGTTTAGAGTGTGGGAGGTAAGCGAGCCGTCTCAGAGAGTGGTAGCATGATCGGTCCCCCTCTAGCACCAACAGGCCTCATCAGCTCTAAGCTGGGAGGCTAGAGCATGTGGTCCCCACCCACCCCACACACAAGCTTCTGGGCAGCTACCAATCCAAGAAGATCCACGCCAAAAGTGGATTCATAGTCTACACTGCAAAGAAAATGTATAGGTGTCCTCAGAAAGACACATATACATGTATTTTATGAAATGTCCCCAGGTGGGGGCACATTGCGGCTTAGGAAGCCCAGCCCCCCTTTGGAGGCCAGGACCTCCCTCTGTGGCCTTCCTGAGAGGGGACTAGGGCACCAGCCCTCCAGGCTGGAGTTCTGCCCCACTGAGCTTCTGCCCCTCTCCCTAGGTGGTCATGATCACAGGCGACAACCCCCTCACTGCCTGCCACGTGGCCCAGGAACTGCACTTCATTGAAAAGGCACACACGCTGATCCTGCAGCCTCCCACAGAGAAAGGTAAGAGCCTAAGTGGCTGGGTGCCAGGGAGACTGTGAGTCCAGCCCGGAACAGCTCCTGTCCTGGTGGCCCTCCTGCGTGCCAGGCCTGGGGGTCACAGCCCTGCTCCGAGCCCCCCTGGCCAAGGACATCCTTACTCAAGTGGGCAGTCACTGGCTCCAGATCAGTGATGACTTAAAATCTCAAGACAATTGCTTATAGTCATGCTGTCCCACGTTTGACATTGTCACATCCACGTTGGACCTGACAGACCACCTGTGCACAGCGAGTCCCTTACTCCCAAGGTCAGGGGCTGCTGGTGCTGGTGCTCAGCACGGCCAGGCCCTGGCCAGAGGGCTTGGTGCATGTTACCACATTGTCCCTTCGCCCTGCACAAGAGGGCTTGCGTCCCCATGCCATGTAGGAGGGAGCCATGTGTGTCAGCTGTTGGCACCCAGTTTTACAGACAAGGAAAGAGAGGTGCACCCACCCACTCAGGTCACTTGGTGTCACTGTGGCTAAGCATCTGAACCTGGATGGCCTGACTGCAGCCACTGGCCACTCCTAAGAAACCAAAAACTGGCCACCCAGCTGGCTGCAAGTAGCACACCAGAGTCAGAGGAGGCAAGGCGCAAATCCGGCCCCAGCGCACTCTGGCTGGCGGGGCAGGATCTGTCAGACGCTGAAGGCTGGTGTCCAGGGCAGGACCTGGCTAGGGGGCAGCATGCACCAGAGGCGTCACAGGGCCACAGGCTGGGGGAGGGTGTTGGTAAGGCCCAGCCAGGGTGGCTTCTGGAGCCCCCTGGCCTTTCCTCTAGTCCACACTGTTGGTCCATGGCTCTGTCCAGCTCCAGGCGCCGGACTCTCAGGAGAGCAGGGATTGTGGGCAGGTGCCCCAGGGGGAGAGCCGTCAGGGCTGCTGATTGGCAGGTGAAGCTGCTCCAAGAAAAGGGCAACAATAAAAGCCAGTGGCGGTTTCCTGCCCAGCTGAGCCAGTCCAGGGTGAGCCACCTAGTGCCAGGAAGGCTGGGGGCCAGCCATCTGGAAAGCGGAAGTGGGTGGCAAGTATCTGGCCAGAGGAAGTGACTCAAGGCTCCCCGGCCCTGAGAGAGGGGTGCCAGGAAGGCCGCAAGGGTGGGGCTAGTTAACTAACAAGCTTGGGGTACGCCCGGGTTAGGATTCGCCCCCTCCCGCGGTCTCAGGCCCTGGGATCTGGGATCTCCCGCCTGTACTGGAGGGTTCTGAACAACCTCTGTGAGGCAGTCAGGCGTCCTGGGCACAGGCAGGCATGGGTGAGGCCTGGGAGCGGTCAGGATAGGTGGGGAGGTAGAGACGACGCCCCAGAGAGGAGAGACTGGGACCAGGCAAGTGGAGTCCGCGCGACAGGTCTGCCTGTGTCTGAGCCCTGTCCCTGACCTGGGCGCTGGTCCTGCAGGTCGACCCTGCCAGTGGTGCTCCATCGATGGCAGCGTTGTGCTACCCCTGGCCCAAGGCTCCCCGAAGGCACTGGCCCTGGAGCATGCCCTGTGCCTCACAGGCGATGGCTTGGCCCACCTGCAGGCCGAGGACCCTGAGCAGCTGCTGCGCCTCATCCCCCACGTACAGGTGTTTGCCCGCGTGGCCCCCAAACAAAAGGTGAGTTGCAGGGGTGACGGGCAGGCAGGGCCTTAGGGCAGTGCACAGCCCTCACTTGGTCCTTTGCCCACACAGGAGTTTGTCATCACCAGCCTGAAGGAGCTGGGCTATGTGACCCTGATGTGCGGAGACGGTACCAATGACGTGGGCGCCCTGAAGCACGCCGATGTGGGTGAGCCCCACGGGCAGGGGCTGTTCCTTCACTGTTCTGTCCACGAGGGCTCCGCATAAAGGACACCTCCCCAAGCATGAGGAGGCAGTGGGGGATGGAGCAGGGCCAGTAGGACCCGAGATCCAAGGGTGTACGAGGGCAGGAAGGAACAGTGTGGCTGGGGCCACCAGGGCCCTGGGGAAGGTTTGGGGAACCAGGGCAGCTCTGCGGGGCAAATGCAACTTGGTCTGCTCAGGCCTCCTGGGCACCATGTGGGCACAGGCCAGGGAGGGAGGGGACAAGTGGGAACAGACAACCAGTGGGAGCTGAAGCATTTGCCAGCAGTTCACAGCCTTGAATCTCTATTGACAGAATACATTTCCGCTTTACTTGCCAACTAGAGCATTTATCGAGTGTTATTTACCTCATAGAAACATGATCCTTAGCAGTAAACTTCTTTGAAATTCAGTTAGTCTTGATGCATTTAGTGTTGGGTGCTTTGGGGGCCTTTGTTTTGTTTTTAAGTAGTTTATAAAAAATAAAGTAAATGCTCTCTGAGGTGCTCCCTGGGGAGTCCAGTGAAATGGGGAGGTTTGGCTCCGAAGCCTGTGCCTCCACCTCGGCATTGAGCACATACGCAGCTGGAGCCTGGGGCTGGAGGGCTCCCCGGGACCCTAAAGCACACCGCCCCCCCCCCGCCCCCCCGCAGGTGTGGCGCTCCTGGCCAATGCCCCAGAGCGGGTTGTTGAGCGGAGGCGGCGGCCCCGTGACAGCCCCGTCCTGAGCAACAGCAGCATCAGGGCCACCTCCAGGGCAGCCAAGCATAGGTTGGGGCTCCCACCCCCGGAGGAGCAGCCCGCCTCTCAGAGGGTGAGTCTTGGGAGGGGTCACCGGCACCCCCTCGTGGCCAGGCCTCACCCACTGCCACCCACCCCGCAGGACCGCCTGAGCCAGGTGCTGCGGGACCTGGAGGATGAGAGCACACCCATCGTGAAGCTGGGCGACGCCAGTATCGCGGCGCCCTTCACCTCCAAGCTCTCATCTATTCAGTGCAGTGAGTCCCGCCACTTGCCTTGTCCCCCTGCTGACCCTGCCTGGCACCCATGCCCACACCTGCCATCTCCCTCCCCCCGCAGTCTGCCACGTGATCAAGCAGGGCCGATGCACACTCGTGACCACACTGCAGATGTTCAAGATCCTGGCACTCAACGCCCTCATCCTGGCCTACAGTCAGAGTGTCCTCTACCTGGAGGGCGTCAAGTTCAGCGACTTCCAGGCTACACTGCAGGGGCTGCTGCTGGCCGGCTGCTTCCTCTTCATTTCCCGCTCCAAGGTGGGCTGGGACCCCTGGCAAAACAATAGCTCCTGCCCCACCCGAGGGCACCCTCTGCCTCCGGACCACAGCACCTGCTCTGGCGGCTTCATGGATTCGTGGCAAGGGACGCTTGGGCCAGGCAGGACAGACTGTTAGATGTGCTGCTGGATGTCATGTTTTTCTTCCTGACAGAAGCCCTCAGGGTGGGAGCTGTTGTCCCCACATTATAGATGGGGATGGGGGGGCAGCGGGGAGCCTACCGAGGCTCATCCAAGTAGCCCAACTTGGGCCCCATCATGTCCACGGGCAGGAGGGGCTCCGGAGGCTGGTGCTGACCCATGGGCCCAGGATGTGGGGACTGCTCTCTGGACTGGGCCTGCAGGAGACATGGTGGATGGTGGCCCAGGGCATTCTGGGCTTTGACACTCGCCCAACCCCTCCCCACCGCCTTACCCACCACTGCAGCCCCTCAAGACCCTGTCCCGAGAGCGGCCCCTGCCCAACATCTTCAACCTGTACACCATCCTCACGGTCCTGCTGCAGTTCTGTGTGCACTTCCTAAGTCTTGTCTACCTATACAGAGAGGCCCAGGCCCGGAGCCCTGAAAAGTAAGTGCCACGGGAGCAGCGGGTGCACGGGGCACCCAGAGGAGGCAGCATCCTTGTGATGGGAGCTGGGAGGAGGAGGTGCAGACATTGGCCTGCAGCAGCCAAGGTCAGGCAGAGCCCTGGCCCCGCAGGGGCAGTGTGAGCAACAGAGAGGCTCTGACGCCCATGCATCCTGCAGGCAGGAGCAGTTTGTGGACCTGTACAAGGAGTTTGAGCCAAGCCTGGTCAACAGCACTGTATACATCATGGCCATGGCCATGCAGATGGCCACCTTCGCCATCAACTACAAGGTGCGGTCCAGCCCTGGCCCGGACATGCCCTGCCCGCCCCCCCCCCAACCCGGCCCCCACAGTGCACAGCCATTCATCTGTCTGTCCCCAAAGGGCCCGCCCTTCATGGAGAGCCTGTCTGAGAACAAGCCCCTGGTGTGGAGCCTGGCCGTGTCACTCCTGGCCATCGTGGGCCTGCTCCTCGGCTCCTCGCCCGACTTCAACAGCCAGTTTGGCCTTGTGGATATCCCTGTGGAGGTGAGTGTCCCTGTGGATGTGACCCAGGGCTTGACCTGGGCCCCTCTGCAGGCGCCAGCTCACCATCGCTCCCTGCCCTGCAGTTCAAGCTGGTCATCGCCCAGGTCCTGGTCCTTGACTTCTGCCTGGCACTCCTGGCTGACCGCGTCCTGCAGTACTTCCTGGGGACCCCGAAGCTAAAAGTGCCTTCCTGAGACGGCAGTGCCAGCACCCACTGCCCACCCTGCTACCACCAGGGGCCCCACGTGGGCCCCAGAAGGGAACACTGCCCCCATGGCAAGGCCGGCCCAGCCTTGCCGCCAAGACTGAGCTGGGACCCCTCCCGACACACACCCTGTGGCCACCCGCAGGCCCGGCTGGCAGAACCAGCCCCCAGCCAGCCCCTTTGGTAAATAAAGCAGCATCCACAATTTTAAGAAGCCCTGTCTCCACATCTGTCTGTGCCACACAAGGTGTCACCGGGTGGTCACTGAGGACAACCCTGGCACTCTCTAGAGGGCTGTGTGAGGCTCTCGACAGCACCTTCTGCAACGGTCAGCACTTGCATAGGCTCAGCTTCCAGCACAGAGAGCTCTGCGTGTTTCCTGGTGTAACAAGCACCCCCGTATTTCTGTCATCTTTCAGCTTCATATTTTGAAACCCCGGGCACTGAGAGGAGTCTTAGGATCTATGGCATTTTTCCCTTTTTAGTAATAGGCAAAATAACAGCCTGCCTCCACCATGTCCCGGCCCTGCCCTGGCTCTGCCTTCATACCAACACTCTCTTTTCTCTTTTCTTTTTTCTTTTTTTTATAACCCTCACCTGAGGATATGTTTTTATTGATTTTAGAGAGAGAGAGAGAACCATCAATGTAAGAGAATTATCGATTGGTTGCCTCCAGTGTGTACCCCAACTGGGGATGGGCACAAACCTGCAACCTCAGTAGGTGCCCTGACCGGGGATCAGACATGCTCCAACCTGAGCCACCTGGCCAGGGGAACGCTCCCTCCAAACAGCATTCAGTGCAACTCAGGAATGTCAGAGTAGGCATGCCATGTGAGAGCTGGAAGTCAAAGCCAGTGGGCGACATGCCTTTTCAACAGCGAAAAACTGTAGGAAGCAAAGTTACAAATGCAAAGTCTTCACTCACAGCCAGGAATTCTCCTGAGTGAAGAATGTGGGTGCATTTTTGTAACTCTGACAAGCTGCATGTGACCACAGGCCAGGGGACCTAGGCCCAGGCTTCTGGGCAGCCTCCCCTCCCCACCAGTGCTCACTAGGGGATTCTCAGCCTTTCCAGCCCTGCCCCGTTGGTCGTCCTCAGCAGCCCACGCCTGTCTGGCTTCCCCAGGCAGCAAAGCGTTGCCTGTGGCCCGAGGAAGCCCTTGCGAAGGGGCCGGGACCAGCTGTGGACGCCTGTGAGTGTCATGAGCAATGACTGGCCAAGGTCTTTGGAGAGTAGTGGCCCCAGGCCCAGGCTGCAGAGGGAGGCCCACTCCTGAAACGAGGTGACAGCCAGGAGCACCCTGGAGTTGGGTTTGCCAGGGATGCGTCTTTGGGGGTCAGGGCAGGTCCCTGTGCCACCCGCCCCCCGCCTGAGAGGCACTAGGGGCACTCCTGGATAACACTAATAGGGCCTCAAGAGCCTGATCCGGCTTTCAAGGTCACTGGGAGTCCCCCCAGGCCAGGGGTCTTCAGCAAAAAGCATTAGGGGACTTCGGATTCAGCTGTAATTGCACAGGGCTGCAGCCCTCCATAAGGGGCTCCGTGTCTCTGGCCGGGATGCGGTAGGTTTAGGGGTCCAAGAGACCCCTGAGCAGGGCTGTCGCTGGGTGTTGAGAAGGGCCGGAAGTAGGCGGACTCTGGGAGAGGGTGCAGGGGATTTGGGGCCACGCAGAGCAGGGGAGGAGAACCCTGGGCAGGACGGAACCCTGAAGTGTCCAGGGCTGGGGCGTTTTGGGTTGCGGTGATCGCCCAGGAGGCACTGGCTCTACAGCATCTCTGCTCAAGAGAGCGTAGTCTGTGCTTCTGGGACCTGGGGGCGTGGCCTGGGGCAAGGGCGTGTTTAGGGTGACAAATTCGGGGCGTGGTCAGCGGTGGGGCGGGGCGGATGACGTGGAAAAGGAGTGGCTGCTGTGGCAGGAAATCTGAGCTAGGCCCCCGCGGGGCGCCGCGCGATCCTGTCCCAGTCCCGGGGTCCCCACCGAGTGCTCCCTGGGCCATGGACGCTGCAGAGCCGGGTAGGCGGTCCGGGATACGGGATCCAAGAGGGGCATCCCCAGCCATACCCCGCTTCCTAAATTGAGAAGCCATGGTTGTCCCTCTCTGCCCGCAGAGCAGGGAGAGAGGAGTTCCTCAATGGGGAGGATGAGGGGATCCTCCACTGTGGGGACCCCCAACCCGAGAGGGGCCCGAGACACCAATCCCTGCCCCCTCCCCCTTTGGAGTCTTAACCCCCGGATGACTGGGCGAAGGGGCCCAGGAAGGGGAAGTGGCTGCTTCTGCTTCTGATATTTGTGATGGGGGCAGGGTGTCACCACCGGTGATGGAGTGAGGAAAAGGTGGCAATGCAGCAGGACCCCCACCCAGCTGCTCCACAGCCCAGGGAGGGGCAGTGCGGATCTGGGCCCCCTAGAAGGGGGGCTGTTGCAGAAATGCCCCAACATTCCCCTTGTGTCTGGGGCTGTCTTTTGTATCTCTGCTGTGCATGTTGGGTGTCGGTCTTTCTGGCCCTCGTGGTCCCAGCTGGCCAGTGTTTCTGCCACAGCTCTGTGCCTGTCTGTCCCACGTGTATTTTCATCTGCCTGGCCTGAGGCCCAAGTGGTTCCATTGTCAAGTTGGCTGTCTCCCCTGGGGACAATGTGACTGCATCTGGGGCATCTGTTTTGCCTCTGCTTCTGAGCCCGTGCATTTGCAGGTGCCTCTGCTCTGTGTGTTGGATTGTGCCTGAGTCCCCCTTCCTGCCGAGTCGGCCCCACCCACCCGAGCCCATGCTCCCTCCCTGCCGGCTCAGGCGTCCACTCCGCCCCACACTCCCTGCAGAACCAGAGCTTTTCTCTGTCCTCTTCCTCTCTGTCTCCCCACCCTCCAAACAACCAGCCAAGGTCCTGTGGAGGGAGGCGTTGGTGTGCCCACGTGTGACATTCCCCCACCCCCAGGGTTACCCCCAGTTCCTGAGAGCAGGAAGAGGTACAGTGACATCTTCCGGAGCCTGGACAACCTTGAGATCTCACTGGGGAACGTGTGAGTCTGAGACTGGGACACCCCCAAATCCTGCCAGGATCTGCAAAACACCTGAATATCCCAAAATTCAACCCCCTAAATCCACTGGAAATCCCCTTCGTGGTACTAGAACCCCCATGTATCCTTCTTGTGACCACTGAAGACATGAGACCCCTATAATCCCCCTCTCTGAACCCCAAAGTTACCTGTAACTCATAAAATTCTATTTCAAGTCCCATAAAAAGGTTCACCTGGTTCTGCCCCAAAACCTCATCCCTTAGATCTCCCAGATCCAAGAGGTGTCACTGAGGTGATATCCAGGAGCATCTGCCAAATCATCCTGGGATTCTCAGCACCCGTAGGCGGGACAGGCTGGGTGGAGGGTGGGATCCTGACACCCTTACCTCCCAGGACCCTCGAGACGCTGGCTGGAGACCCTGCCCTTTCGGGAGACCCGGAGCCTGACAAGACCCCTGCAGCCGCCCCAGTGGTGAGAGGCAGAGCCAAGGGGGCAAGAAGAGGGAGCCTCCAAGAGGAGGGGCTTTAAGGAGGTGGGCCCTGCCCTGCTTGCTCCTGAACTTGTCCCCCTCCCCCTCAGACCGGTGAGACCAGCCATTGGAGTGGCCCCTCCCCGGAGGGTCCTGCACCCCTTACAGGTAAGGGGCTTTGAGGCCAGGGTGTGGGGACAGAAAGAAGCCCTTCCCTTGACATGTCATTGCCGACTGCCTGCCCTGTGCTCCTGGGTCCCTGCTGTGCAGCGCAGAGCTGAGCCCCTGCCTTTAGGGAGCCACCAGTCCAGGTGGACAATCAGTGCAAAATTGCGAGTCATTGTGAAAAGGGTATTTTGGGGATGCTTAGGGTGAAGAATAAGGGTCTCTGGTCTGGTCTGTGGGCTCAAGTGAGGCCAGGGTTCCATGGGAATTTAGGATTCAGTCCACCCGCCCGCCCCAGGGGAGGAACTGGACTTGCGGCTCGTTCGGAACAAGGGTGGTGTAGACGCAGCCCTGGAGTACGCCAAGACTTGGAGCCGCTATGCCAAGGAGCTGCTGTCCTGGACGGAGAAGAGAGCCAGCCTTGGTGAGGGTCCCTCCCACCCGGCCCCAGGCTCCGGGCAGCATCTATACCCCGCTTAACTCAAACCCCTGCTGTCTCCCCCCAGAGCTGGAGTTTGCCAAAAGCATTATGAAGATCGCTGAGGCTGGCAAGGTGTTAATCCACCAGCAGGTAACCATGACCAGGCCACGCCCTCAGAGCCCAAGCCCTCAAGAACCCCAGCCCGATCCCCTCCCCTTGACCCTCAGCATCCTCCAACACCCCCACCGCAGAGCCACATGCCACTGCAGTACATCTACACCATGTTCTTGGAGCACGACCTCAGCCTGGGAGCCCTGGCGGTGGAGACGGTGGCCCAGCAGAAAAGGGACTACTACCAGGTAAGGAAGCCGCGCTGTTCACAGCGGCCCAGCAGGAAGGCACCGTTGCCGTCAGCGTTAGTGCTGATGAGGAAGCAGACGCCCATGGATGCTGAGGAACTTGCCCAAGGTTGCACAGCAGAGATTCAAACCAGGCTTCCTGTGCAATTGCTAAACCGTGCTTTTGTTTATTGGTGGGGGCGCAGGGTGAGGTACTGAGTGTCCCCAAGAAGAGAGTCTCGGCATCTCGGTTGAGGCAGAAAGGATGAGTTATCACGGAGTCTCTTTGTTGGGACAAGGGGTTGGGGGAGAGCAGGTCTGGGTGAGAAGGACCGCCCCCCAGGAGTGTACAGACCAGAAAAGGGTCGGGAGGATGAAAGGCACATGGCCCAAGGGAATGGAAGGACCGGGTGGCCCTGCGACTACGACATTTCCATCCCCCATCATTGCCAGCCCCTGGCTGCCAAACGGACTGAGATTGAGAAGTGGAGGAAGGAGTTCAAGGAGCAGTGGATGAAAGAACAGAAGCGGATGGTGAGGCCCAGGGTGAGTGAGGGCCAGCTAGGGGAGGAGGGGAAGGGGCGCTGACGTGCTCCTGCCCTGCCCCCAGAACGAAGCGGCGCAGGCGCTGCGGAGGGCCCAGCTCCAGTACACGCAGCGCAGCGAGGACCTGCGGGTGCGCTGCCAAGCGTCCCCGGAGGACCCACCCCCCCAGGCCTTGCCGGGACCCAGCAAGCAGCAAGAGCGGCGGCGGCGTTCTCGAGAGGAGGCCCAGGCCAAGGTGAAGACCTGCCCCTTGCCCCCCGCTGCAGTTCAGCGCCCCCACCCCATGCCCTCTCCCACATGCGCCCCAGCTACGGTTTCTCCAGGCACAGGAGGCAGAGGCGCTGTACCAGGCCTGCATCCGCGAGGCCAACTCGAGGCAGCAGGACTTGGAGGCCACCAAGCAACGCATCGTGTCGCACATACGCAAGCTGGTGCTGCAGGGGGACGAAGTGATGAGGCGGGTGAGGCCCTTCCCCCAAGCTGAGCGCCCCCCCTGCCAAACGGCCTCCAGGACACAGGCCTCGCTCCAGCTCCGGAGGCCACAGTTCCCGTCCCCAGACCCTGACTGCACCTCTGCCTGGGCCCCACTCGCGCTGGTTCCTGCCCCCAGGGCGACTTGCCCAGCTCTGACCAGCCACCGCCCCAGCCCACCGCCCTCACCCCGCAGCTGCCTCCCACTGCCCGACCCCACCCCCAAATCGGGTCTCTGCTGACATTTCTAAGGGTCAGCAGCCAGACTCCACCCCCGCCTCCCCTCATTCTTGGTCTCTGCCGAGCAGGTGACCCTGAGACTGTTCGGGCTACGGGGGGCCCAAGCAGAGCAGGGTCCCCGCGCCTTTGCAGCCCTGGCTGAGTGCTGCGCACCCTTCCAGCCGGGCCAGCGCTACCAGGAGTTTGTGCAGGCGCTGCAGCCGGAGGCCCCGCCACCCCCACCACCTGCCTTCTCTTTCAAGGAGTTCATGTCTACCCCGCACAGGTAGGCCCCTGGGAGCAGAGTCAGGAGGAAGTCCCCAAGGAGGTGCCAGCTGTTGGCATCACGGAGCTGAGAGCTCAGGGCCCAAGAACTCAAAGCCTCGGTACTCGGACTTAGTACCCAAGGCTCTCGTTCGGGAGCACGGCAGCCCCGGTCCTGGGAGGGTCAGGACTTGGAGGTTCCTGCACTGGCCAGAGTGCTCGTGCACATCAAGGCATGCAGACCCCAGTGCTTGGAGCTGGATCCAGGGTGCGGTGCGGGGTGCTGTCAGCCCTGGCCAGTGTCCTGCTTCTCAGAGCCCTTGCCCCTGTCCTCTCAGCTCCCCTCTGGACACGAGAAAAAAGCTCTCTGGCTCATTGCCTCCACGGCTGGAAGAGAGCGCAGCTGAGCCAGGCCCTTGGGAGGACACAGGCCCAGGCTGGCAGGGTGAGTGCAGTGAGGGGCGGGCAGGAGTGGTGCTGGGCAACGGTGGTCCTAATCATTGACCCGTCCCCTCCTAGGGACTCCAGGCCCCACTCCAGGCAGCGATGTGGACAGCGTGGGCGGTGGCAGCGAGTCTCGATCCCTGGACTCCCCCACTTCTAGCCCAGGTGTTGCCAGGACCTGGCCCTCACCCACTCTAAGCCTCTGACCATTCTCCAGCCCTGGCCAGGCTCCAGCCTTCAGTCTCTAACCTATCCTTCAATCTCTAACCTATCTTTTGGTCTCTAACCTATCCGTTGATCTTTACCAACATTCCTGTCCTAATACTTCAGCCTCTGACCTGTCTGACCCCCCTCCTGACCTCCAACCCTTTACCCAAGGTCATCTGTGGGTGGTTCTGAAAGGCCTGAAAACCAGGAAGGTCTCCTTATCCTTGGAACCTCCCCATGACCCTATGACCCTGAACTCTATGACCCCCTGACTCCAGGCCCTGGTACGAGGCGGCTGGTGAAAGTCTCATCCACAGGCACTGAGTCCTCAGATGACTTTGAGGAGCGAGACCCTGGTGAGGCTGGAAGCAGGTGGGGCAGGGCTGGAGAGGGGGATGGACCGGGCCTCCCTGACCCTATTTTACCACAGACCTGGGAGATGGGCTCGAGAACGGATCAGGCAGCCCCTTCCGGAAGTGGACTCTGTCCAGCGCAGCGCAGACCCACCGGCTGCGGCGGCTGAGGGTCCCAGCCAAGTGCCGAGAGTGCGAGGCCTTCATGGTCAGCGGGACCGAATGTGAGGAGGTGTGGCCCAGGCCAATGACCCAGTGTCCTCTGCTGACTCTCAATGACCTCCCTGACCTCACACTGCCCCATGACCTGATATTCCTGTGAACTTCTGCCCCGGGGACCAGCCCTGATCTGATGATTTCCCACGAGCTTCCCATTCCCCAAGGATCTTTACAACCTTCACTTCTCTGGCTGATCCCCGATGACCTCCCTGGCCCTGTGACTTTCCCCCTAGTGCTTTCTGACCTGCCACAAGCGCTGCCTTGAGACTCTGCTGATCCTCTGTGGACACAGGCGGCTCCCAGCCCGGACGCCCCTCTTTGGGGTCAATTTCCTGCAGCTGCCCAGGGACTTTCCAGAGGAGGTGCCCTTTGTAGTCACCAGGTGCACAGCGGAGATAGAACAGCGCGCCCTGGGTGTGCAGGTGCCACCTTGACCCTTGACCCCCCCCCCCCCAGCAATTGCCTGGCCCTCTGCATGGCTAGATTACTACCCAGGTGTTTATTTCCCACCCTACCCTGCAGGGCATTTATCGGGTCAGCGGGTCCCGGGTCCGGGTGGAACGGCTGTGCCAGGCTTTCGAGAATGGGCGAGCATTGGTGGACCTGTCAGGGAACTCACCTCATGATGTCTCAAGTGTCCTCAAGCGGTTCCTCCAGGAGGTGGGTGCTCAGGGGGCGGGGGCAGGGGCTGGGCAGGCTCAGCCTAAGGACCTTCTGCAGCCTACCCTCACCCATGTTCCCTCTGCCATTCCACCCCCAGCTCACTGACCCCGTGGTCCCTTTCCACTTCTACGATGCCTTCATCTCTCTGGCTAAGACCCTGCATGCAAACCCTGGGCATGACCCTGGGACCCTCAGCCCCAGCCCTGAGGCTATTCACTCGCTGAAGGCCCTCTTGATGCAGCTGCCTGACTCTAACTACAACACCCTGCGGCACCTCGTGGCTCATCTGTTCAGGTGGGCTCTGTCCCTGACCTTGAAACAGACTTCTCAACTGAGGCATGGATCTGTGACCCCTTCCCTGGACACATGACTACTGACCCCTGGCACTGACCTTGGACCTCTGCATGTGTTTTCTGAGCTCTGAACCTTAATATATGATCCTGATTTTGGGTGCCTGCTCCTGACCTCCATTGCTGGGCATGTAGCTGCTGGTCTCAAACAATGGCAGGGGGCCACTGACCCACGACTTGGGCAAGTTGACACTAGTCTGGCCTTCAGGTCCTACCTGATGAGCGATGACTGTGTGCTCTGTGTCTTTACCCTTCTCCTCACCCCATCCCCAGGGTGGCTGCGCAGTTTGAGGAGAACAAGATGTCTGCCAACAACTTGGGCATTGTGTTTGGACCGACGCTGCTGCGGTCCCCGGACAGCGCTGGGACAGCCTGCACTGGTTCTGTTACCTGCCTCCTGGACTCTGGGCACCAGGCCCAGCTGGTCGAGTTCCTCATCGTAAACTATGAGCAGATCTTCGGGATGGATGAACTCCCCCTGGCCACTGAGCCCCCACCTCAAGACCCCAGCCCAGCCTCTGAGCCCCTCACGACCAGCTCCCAGCCACCGCCCCCATACCTCGCCCCAGATCCCCTGCCCCCAACCCTACCCTCAGATCTGAGTCCAGACCCCGAGCCCCACAGTGCCCTGGAGAAGCATCCCGAGGCTGTGTCCCCTGAGGTAGGAACCTGCTAGGCCTAGAGACCCGGGGAGGGTCTTCTCCCCATTTAATCTTCTCACTCACTCTCCTCTCTTCCTTCCTTTCCCTTTAAAATTTCCTTTCATTCCTTTCTTTTTTTTAAAATATATATTTATTTTCAGAGAGAGGGGAAGGGAAGGAGAAAGAGGGAGAGAAACGTCCGTGTGTGAGAGATGCATCGACTGGTTGCCTCTCGCAGGCCCCAGAATGGGGATCTGGCCTGCGTCGCAGGCCCATGCCCTGACCAGGGGTCAAATGGGCGACCCTTTTGGTTCGCAGGTTGGTGCTCAATCTACTGAGCCACACCAGCCAGGGCATCATTCCTTTCTTATGTACCCTGTGCTCATTCTAGAAAGAAAAGCGAGGAATGGAGTGGGAGGGGGGGTGATAATGGAGTAACAACAGGATACAGCCCCACAGAGGTACTAACATGGGTGATCCTTCATTCCTTCAATAGAATATTTATTGAATGCCTACTGTGTGCAAAGCATTGTTCTAGGCATTCCATAGATGTCAGTGGGCAGAATATTCAAAGACCCCATTTCTTGGTGCCTACATGCTTGTGGGAAAGAAACCATTAATAAACAAGACATATGATACAGAGTTAGCTATAGAGGATGTTACATGGTGACAAGTATTATGGAGAAAAAAGGTAGCATAAGGTAAGGGATATCAGGGACACCAAGGTGCGAGGCGATCGACAGTTTGTAGCAGTGAGTTGGATGGTGTGGACAGGTCTCAGAGAGAAGGTGGATTTGAGCAAAGACCTGGAGGATGCGAAGGAGAAATGAGCCAGGTGGAGGCCAGCGGAAGTGTGTTCCAGGCCAAGGGACTAGCCCATGCAAAGGCCCTGAGGTGGGAGCGTGCCTGGTGTGTTCAAGGCACAGCTCCATGCTGTAATGAATGAGGAGAAGGTGGTCAAGAGTGAGGCCAAAGAGGGGTCTGCAGACCACCACCTACTATGTAGGCACTTTATAGGCTTCCGGTCATTCTTTCCACAGCCCTGAGTGTTAGTGAAAACCATTTACAGATGAAACTCCTAGGGAGGCTTCCCTGTCCCTCAGACTCTGCTACGCCTTCCCTTGCTGAGCGCACAGGCCTCCCCCACAGCAGCCCCGGGCTGGGAAAAGGGCTGTCAGTGTGCTGTGGGGCTCTGAGAAGTGGGATGGCCCAGAAAGTGCTCCGGACAGTGTTTGACACGTAGAAAGGACTCTAGTTGCTAATAGCATTTAGCTGAAGGCAGAACAGTGAAAATACACAGCTAAAAAGTAGGTGTAATATTGCAGAGAATAGAGCAGAAAGGAGATTTACCTCATCCTAGTGTGGAGATGGTTAAGTCACACCCTGGCCTGGCCCTCTGCTGAGCCCAGGTGTTGCTGCCCTCACAGAGTCCACCGTGGAAGCCAAGGACGCTGCCCTGCACAGCAGGACGAGCAGCACACAGTTAAGGGCATTCTCTCCCCAGACACCAAAGGAACTTGCAGGTCCAGGAACAGACCCTCGGTTCTCCAAGAGTCTCAAAGAACTGCAGTTGCATTGTTGGGGTCTTGGTCTTGGGTTTCTCCCTACAGATTCCAGCTCTACAGAGTGACCAGAAAGAAGAAGTGGCCGAAGATACCAAAGATGAGAGAGGGGAAGGTGAGTGTGTTGGGGAGTAACCCAGGAGTTCTGGCGGGGGGGGGGGGGGGTCTGCCCAGGGTAGCTTGGCTGAGAGGTGACTCCCAGGGGCATATCCAGAGGACTTGGGGATGCCCAGCAATGACTACCCCATTCCACAGCATCAAGCCAAGGCCCCGAGGACTCACTCCTGGGGACACAGTCCCGTAGCTACTTCAGCCGCCAGCCAGTGAAGTATCCCCGGGGGGGCGTGCGACCTGTCACCCACCAGCTGTCCAGCTTGGCCCTGGTGGCTTCCAAGTTGTGCGAGGAGACCCCTGTCACATCAGGGTTCCAAGGGAGCTTGCGGAGGAAGGGGCTGGGTCCTACTGCTGCTTCCCCCGAGGACAGCCCCCTGCGCCGCACCCCGCTGCCCAAGCATTTTGAGATTACCCAGGAGACAGCCAGGCTACTCTCCAAGCTGCACACAGAGGCTGTGCCCAAGGCCACCAGCTTCCCGGACCCCCAGCCTCAGGAGGAGGAAGCTGAGGACCACCTCTGACCATCCCAGCACTCTGACCTAGTGGCTCAGGACTGAGGGGATAGACCCACGTCTCCCCAGGAGTTGGATGTTGGGGGTTCTGGAGAGTTCCTATAAGGAAAAACCACATGGCCTGGGGGAAGACTAAAACCCTTTTTGGCACGATGTACCAGGCTCCCCCCGACTAGACACAGGTCACTGGCGAGCATCAGGGCCACTCAGGTTCAGAGGACACTCAGGGCCCATACTCAGGTTCAATATAGGTCACAGGATTCTTGGGGTCCATCCTTGTCTCTGACCCCTGGGATAGGGGTGCCTTTTGCCACTTTGGTTGTGACCACTTCCCCACCTCCGCCTGCCTCCTTAGCTGACCCCAAGTGACCAGCTCTTGGGGTGGGGGAGTGACAGTCCAGACAGGACCTCTGGTTGTCACTCTGGTGGGGTCTGACGGCCTCTGAATAAACTGTGTGTTCATACCCTTGAGTGTGTCTTTGCCAGGTGAGGGCAGCATTCTACGGCCACGTTTTACCCCTCAGGGAAACCGAGGCCCCCTCTCTTTGAGCACCTAGAGGCAGTCGCGCTGGACCTGGGCACTGAGCTGAGTCCTGCCGGCCCAGCCCTCCCCAAGCTCCACGTCTCCGGTCCGGTCGTGCATAATCAAATAGAACAAAGTGCAGATAACCCGGACAATGGAGCTGTGTTCTCTGGGCTGGGCCGTGGGAGCCCAGGGCCGACACAGGCCTGGGCCGGGCAGTGGGCAGCGCCAACCGGGGCTGGGGGCACGGGGGCGGGATTGCGAGAAACTTGAGTGCGGCAGGACAGTCAAGTTGGTCAGCCGGGCCGAGGAGGTCCGCGGGGTAAGGCAGGCGGCGGCGCGCCGTAGCTGCTCGCCAGGGAAGCCGCCGTGCCGCCGTGGGGCGGGGGTCTGGGCGGTGGGAGCCTAGTCAGATCAGGGCGTGGCTTGGAGCTCGGCGGCGGATTGGACGCGTGGTAGCGGGGTTGGGTGGGAGTAGGGGTGCGGACCCTGGGACCACCTAGAGCTGAGCCCGGGCCACGCGAGGTCACAGCGGGAATTCTCCCGCCCCGAGTGACTCAGCTGCCCCCAAGGCCCGAAACTGAGGGCGCGTAGGTGTGCAGGGATGGGGCGGTGGTCCTGCGCCGGAAGTGGGGAGGAAGTGAGGGGCTGAGGTTCCGGGCGACTCCAGCTTCCCCAGGCTGCAGAGGCCGGGCTCCCCCAGGTGGCGGGGGCGGGGTGCCGGGGCTGGGCAGGGACTGGGCGGTGGGGCGGGACCCCGCCTCCTGCGCTGTCTGCAGGGCGGTGCTTAGTGCCCCCAAACTCTCCGCTCTCTACGCTGTGTCTGGGCCATGGATCTACGACGCCGTCCTACCCTCTGCGAGGCCGCCCCTTCTGCGGCTTGACGCGAGGTCCAGGTGATGTCTACACGGAAGGGTGAGGGGGCGCGAAACCCTGGGAGGGTTCGGCACGTGGCCTCGGGGGCCCGGGTGCAGCCCGCCTTCTTCCCTACCTACATCCTCCCTCAGCCCGGGGCTCCGGAAAGCCCCGCCAGCTGCTACCTTTGTCGCGGAGGCCACCAGGATCCTCCATTCCACCAGAACGGCCCGGCCCGATACCCCGCCCGCTTCGGGAGTGCTCTTGCCCAAAGCCTGCCGCCCAACTTCTGGAGCTGGCTCGCAGCCCTCTCAAGTCTCCTCTGTCAGCTCCACGCCCCAGCATCGACTGCCTGCAGGGTCCCAGCAGTGATCCCGCCCTGTGCACACATGACTTCTGAGCTCTGCTGCCTGCAGTGAGCCCGACACCAAACTGACCTTCCCTCCTCTACTTTCACAGCTCACACCTCTTTGTCCTGTTCCAACCCCCACCACCACCAACACAGATTGGACCCAGTTTGGTAGCACGTGGGCAGATGGGGGTGTTTTTTTTTTTGTTTCTTTAGGTTGCAAAACTCAACCAGCTGGAAAAGAAAAAACAAACCTCACTAGTCGTTTGACTTGGGAGGTATCTTTGTAAGATTCTTATTAGAAAATAAACAACAGCTGTCCTCCCACCCCAACCCATAAAGCTTGCTTTTCTAGGTCACCCTGGTCCCCAATAACACCACTTCGCCCTGAGACATTTGAGCGTGAGAGCTTTGGTCTACCTGTCCCGATCCTGTCCTCTGGGTGCTGTTCCTTTCTGTACTCTGTGGACAGTCCCCGCCTGCATTGATCTTTCTCTCTGTGCCCCCAGATGGTCACCATGGGCCAGTGTTACTACAATGAGACCATCGGCTTCTTTTACAACAACAGTGGCAAGGAGCTGAGCTCCCACTGGCGGCCTAAGGATGTGGTGGTGGTGGCGCTGGGGCTGACTGTCAGCGTGCTGGTGCTGCTGACCAACCTGCTGATCATCGCAGCCATCACCTCCAACCGCCGCTTCCACCAGCCTATTTACTACCTGCTCGGCAACCTGGCTGCGGCCGACCTCTTCGCCGGCGTGGCCTACCTCTTCCTCATGTTCCACACCGGCCCACGCACAGCCCAGCTCTCTCTCTTGGGCTGGTTTGTGCGGCAGGGTCTGCTGGACACAAGCCTGACTGCATCGGTGGCCACGCTGCTGGCCATCGCCGTGGAACGGCACCAGAGCGTGATGGCTGTGCAGCTGCACAGCCGCATGCCCCGCGGCCGGGTGGTCATGCTCATCGTGGGAGTGTGGGTAGCCGCGCTGGGTCTGGGGCTGCTGCCCGCCCACTCCTGGCACTGCCTCTGTGCCCTGGACAGCTGCTCACGCATGGCCCCCCTGCTCAGCCGCTCCTACCTGGCCGTCTGGGCCCTGTCCAGCCTGCTCGTCTTCCTACTCATGGTAGCTGTCTACACCCGCATTTTCTTCTATGTTCATGGGCGCGTGCAGCGCATGGCAGGGCATGTCAGCTGCCACCCCCGCTACCGCGAGACCACGCTCAGCCTGGTCAAGACTGTTGTCATCATCCTGGGTGAGTGGGACCCTGATTCCCCCGGCTCCTCTGAGATCTGGTGGAGGAGCATGATGGGAGGAGATGATTTGGGTCGGGAATCTTCTCCAAAACAGTGATATCTGAGCAAACCTGAGTGCTGGACGAAGGAAAAGCGTTCCAGGCAGTGGGAACAGGACAGGACAGGACCAACCAGGCCAGCACCTCTGGAGAGGAGAGGGGGTCAGCACAGCCTCAAAGGGCACCGAGAGGAGTCAGATTTTGTTCAGAATTCTGTGGGAAGCCCTTAAGAGTTTTTAGCAGGGAGTAACACGGTCACTCAGGCTGTTGACAGTAGGATGGTCTTGGGGGGCAGGCACCAAGGGGCCTTCGCATTAGGATATGCCCCCACACATGTAAGAACAAGGAGCGACTCTTCCCAACGATCGCCTTCTCCACACTGAATAACGGCCTGTCCCGCGGTGACCTAGTTTCCCCCATAGAACAGATAGCCACGTAGAAACGTTCAGGGCTCTGGCTACAGTGTACCAGCTAGGAAAGGTGTCCCTTCGGCAGACAAGTTAGAGTAAAGAGCCTTTCCTTAGCAGCCCTGCCCCATCACTCTGCCAAGGCAGCAAGACAAGCCTCTGGCACCGTAAGCCACAGCTGTTGTCTGAGCTCTGGACACCCCCGCCACCCTGAGTTGAGAGCTGTGGGTGCCAGGTCCCCTGACAGCTGGCCCCACTCACCTTGGGCTCCATCCCGCAGGGGCGTTTGTGGTCTGCTGGACGCCAGGCCAGGTGGTCCTGCTCCTGGATGGCCTGGACTGCAAGTCTTGCAACGTCCTGGCTGTGGAGAAGTATTTCCTACTCTTGGCCGAGGCCAACTCACTGGTCAATGCTGTGGTGTACTCCTGCCGCGATGCGGAGATGCGCCGCACCTTCCGCCGCCTCCTCTGCTGTCTGTGCCTCCACCGCTCCACCCGTGAGTCTCCCCACTACACACCCTCCACGCAGACAGGCACCAACACTCGCATCATGCTTTCTAAGAACGGCCACTCCCTGATGGACTCCACCCTTTAACCAACCTTGGACTTCAGCGGGACGCACCAAGGGCGAGATTGCACCCCTGACCACTCGAGGATGTACCTGGTTCAACCCAACCGGAGGGACAGAATTAAAGGCAGACCCTTGGGCTGGATGACGCCACTGTCAGGCAGGCCCCCCCCACACACACACAGCTCTGCCTGCTTCGGGGCCTCGGGGTATGTGGTCACCTCCAGTGCCCTGGAGAGTGTCCGAAGGGGTTCAGGAATCTGGCTCTTCAATCATCTCAGGCTGTGGGGTTTTTAACGGACATTTTTCTGTATGTTTGTTTTGGGGTTTGTTTTTTTTTTTCACTTTTCTGTTTTTAATGCACATCCCTGGCGAACCCTGTGGCTTGCTTCTTTGTGCGTGTTGGTGTGTGTTAAAGGTGGGAGAGAAGAGGACTCTCTCAGGCCACGCTGCCAAAAATGACAGGGACGGACCATGGCTGCACCATCTGCCAGAAGCTGATTCTTCAGTGGCACAGGCTGAGGGGTGCTGAGCGAGAGCTGGGAAAGGTGTGTGGCCCTGTGGGGCTTGCCTGTCCCTGTTAGACTTGAGGGTGTCCACGAGGAGGACATGTTAAGAAGTAAACCTCCCTTTCTCCTCTGGGGTTTCCAAAGCATCTTCTGTCATTAACTCAATCTGTCACCGTGTCCCAGAATTGTCCACCTCAGCTTTAGCCTGGCTGGCATCCTTCAGCACGGCATCTCCTCAGCCCTGTTCTCACCCCGCTCCGGCCTCTGGCTGGCTGTCACTCCATCTCTCTTGGGGTTTTGCGTCTATTCCCTTTTGCCTGTCATCTCCACTTGTTCCCCTGCCTCCATCTTGCCAACTGCCCGTCTTCATCCTCTGGAGCCCACGTAAGTCCTCCCTCTCCTGCCTGTGCTTTCGTCCTAGTCCAGGTGAACAGGTGGGTTCATCCCACTGCACACTACACACCTGCGGGCCAGGGGCAGTGGGACCCATAGAGCAGGGTGCAAGATTTGAGTGTTGCCATTTCTCAAGCTCCTCTGATGTTGCCCGGCACACTGATAAGCACTTTAGGTGCATTATTTAATCATCACCTGCAAGTATTACCCTTATTTCATGTGAGGACAGTGGCTGTGAGAGGTTGAGGTCTGGGTCACAGTCACACGGTTTTGAGAGGGCACAGAGATGCATCCGGGGACTAGAGAGGCCCCTGGGGAAAGGGCTTCAGATTCTCACAAAGTATGGAATTAATCACAGCTCGGTCTGGCTTTTTTGTTTTCTTTTTTTCTTTCTCTCTTTTTTTTTTTAATGTTTTATGGCGAGAGAGGAAGGGAGAGAGAGAAATCATTTCCATACAATCGTTTATGTATGCATTGGTTGATTCTGGTATGTGCCCTGACCAGGGATCAAACCCACAACCTTGGCATATTGGGGCAATGCTCCAACCAACCAAGCTACCCGGCCAGGGCTCAGCCCGGCTTTTCCCACCTCAACCCACAGCCCATGAAGGCCTCAGATATGTCAGACTCCTAATGATGAGCCCCTCCTCAGATGTTCAGATGTCATACCTGTTTGGCATGGTATAGACCAGAATCTGGATTCTCTGCTTCCACCTAAGGAGGAGACAGGGCTCTGTTCCTACTTCAGATTCACACACAAAATAACAGCCAAATTTGAAACCAGGCCTCCCATCAGAGGCCCAGTTCTTAAGCTACTGATGTACACATTGCCAAAGAACAGAAGACATGTAGGTCCTTCTACGTTAAATGCAGCTGAGCTTTCCTTTGGGAAACCCCCCTCCCCTAAGGCAGCTTTGTGAGGAGGCAAGAATGAACCGGGATGCTGGGTACTTCTCCAGGGTCCAAAGTGGGCAGCATGGTTCCTAGGGCCTGGGGCCTGAGTCTCCAGAGATGGTGACCCAGGCCAGCAGCTTCCACCATGTGCCTGGGCACATGCCCATGAAAGATGCAGTCCTTGCTCCATGGAGCTTTGGGCCTTGTTGGACAGACATGTCACTTTGGGGGCCGAGGCAGCCAGCAATTCCTGTGACCTCCAAAAGACAGCTCTGCGTTCTACCTGCTCTGAGCTGGTTGCTCTTGCATCAGCATCAGGTTCTAATTCACACTCCTGGAGTCTCCTCTGTCCCACCAATTTTCCCCTCTCTTGTAGGTCTCTCTTCTCTACCAAGTTTTTGTGTCTGCTGGTCTTTTAAGCTTTCAAACACCTATCCCCTACCGCATTCTCTAAAGGACACCAAAGTTCCCCTCTATTTTCAGGCCTCCTGTGCAAGTGCTGGGCTAGCAGCTGACCTTTTAACACCATGGCATTGGCTCTCAGTGGCACCCACACACGTTCTAGTGCTTCCTGTTACTGGGGCCAAGTGTCAGCTCTCATCAGGAAGCTTTCGAGGTTGTTCGTACACAGCCACATTACTCATGACCATTCCCCGCTACCTTTTGGAGTCCCCCGATAAAATCACGCCAGATGGTTCTTGCCTTTCCTCTCCTGCCCTGAAGGGTTGGCAGCCAGGCTGAGGACCTTTTATGAGCCTGCATCTGGGGTCTACCCTTAGAGCAAACAGGCTCCAGGTTGTCCCATGAAGCTGGAGGAGTAATTCTTGGCGGGTGTGTTCCTTTTCTCCCGCATGAGGAGCTGCTGCCTTTGGGGTGCACCACAGGGTAGGTCTTCCATTCGTTGATTATCCATGTGGTAGTGTTTTCTAGACCTGGAATGCTGCAGAGCAAGAGAATGAATAAACAAGAGAGAGGTCATGCTCAAGCCAGACCTGGAAAGGTAAATAGAACTGACTTCTACAGTTAAGAAAATGACTCAGTTCTAACCTCCCAGCCGCCACCACCACCACACACTTTGGACCCTCATGGAAAGCTTCCAGGCAAGAGCCAGGATGCAGGGAGCCCAGGTGACCCACCTGATGGGGCTGAGGGGAGCATTAGGGATTGAGCAGGGGGCTGGGGCTTCTGGAGAGGAATGAGGGGTGTTCGTGGAGCCCAAGGGAGATTCTGAGAAGGAAGGGGTGGCTGGGAGGAAGAGTGGGCTGCTCTAAGTAGGGACGCAGGAAATGTGTGGATCCCTGAGTGGAGTCTCAGGCATGAGGGCCTCCGAGGAGAAGGAGTGGGGTCTGCGAATAGGAGGTGCGGAGAGGGGAAAGAGCCTCTGGAGCGGGGCGGAGCCGGCGTCGCCCTTTCTTGAGCTAGAGGACGGGGGTGGGGAGCGCCGTTGTCTGGACGACCCAACTTAGTCCTAGCCGCGGTGTGGAGTTGTTGGGGGGCGTGTCCGTGGGCGGTGCGCGGCGGCCTCGGAGGTGGCGGTTGGCTGGCGGCGGTGGCGGGGGGCGTGTCCAGGCGCGCGCGCGCGGCGCATGGGCAGCTGCGGTTGGCTGCCGGGGCCGTGCGAGCGGTTCAGGCCCGGCGGCTGCCCCTGAGTTTCCGCCGTGCCCCTCCGACCGTGGATGCCCCTACTCGGGCGACGTCCTGCAGCAGACCACGGCCATCGCCCACTGGAGCCTGGAGGAGGCGCAGGCCAGGTGCTGCGCGGGCTGGCCCAGGGGCCGGGGTCGGGGGCTAGGGGTGTAGAGCAGAGGAGGGGCCAAGGCGACAGCTTGGAGTCTCTGAGCCGGGAGGGCAGATTTGGCGGGGGGTGAAAGTAAGGGGCTTGAGGAGGACGACGAAGGCATTTATGGGGTTGAAGTGGAACAGACTGAAAGGCTTATGGGGCTAAGCAGTGGGGTGGTGGGTTTTAGGAGCGCGTCCTGGGCCGAGAGGGATGGGTTTAAATGGAGTTTGTGAATGGGGAGGCTTATGGAATAGTAAGGGGGTAAGAGGAACGCTGGGGATATAAATGGATGGGTTAGTGGGGTTCATGAAGTGGAAAGTTTTGAGGACAGATAATGGTGAGTTGTGGAGAATGGGACTTGGAAATGAAGAGATGGCTGACTGAGTAGGTGTGGGAACCATCAGGAAAAATGATGAGTGGAGGAGCTGGGTGGAAGCAAGGGACCCTCCCCCCTTTATTTATTAATTTGGCAAATATCATTGGATGCTGTGTGCAGAGCATTAGATACTATGTGCAGAGCACGGAGCTGGCTGCTGGCAAAGACCTAGTTCTCAAGCTCGTGGTTTGAGGGAGAACGTAAGTGCAAAGAAAGTAGTATAAATTGTGAGAAAAGCTGTAAGGACGGGATGCATGCTGAGAGAAGCCAGGTGGAGAGGGTACCACACCTGCAGAGGCCCTGAGCAGGGGAACAGAGGAAAAAAGGCAGGGTCAGGGACTCAAGGTCCCTGGCTGATTTTGGAGAGAGGGTGCAGCTGGATCGCCGTAGGCCTACAAGTTTCAGAATTTGGGTTTTATTTCAGTTGCGGTGGGAAAAATCACAGCAATTGGAAGACCACTGCTCTGCCCCGGTTACCCGCACCCACCCCTGCCAGCCAGCCAGGATGGGTAAATGCTCCTCCACAACGCAGCCCATTGTGTTTGGGTTCTGCCCAATTATTAGAAAATGGGAAAGGACTGAAGTCCTTTTGGAAGCTAAGTTCTCATGAAATGGGGGCCTGTTTGGGGCAGAAGGGTGGTCCCTGGGGATGGGACTAGGGTCTGGTCGTATGGACTGTGCAGTCAGTGACGAGAGCTTTCTAGTGAAGAGGGGTTACAAAGCCCGTTGAACAGCAGCGCTAGGCGGTTCCATAAGCTCTGCCTGAAAGGTTAGGAGTGTCACCGCCCCCCCCATCATCCCCCCCCCCGCACCATGTTTACTCTACCTTTTGAAGTATTGTGCTAGGTACTAGAGAATCCAAGATAGCTAAGATGTTCTCTGCCCTCTTGGAGCTCACTGAAAAGTAGACTGTGTGGGAGACTAACTTATAAATAGTTGTCATATCAGGAATATTCCGAGTAGAGCTGTTTCCTGGCACGAAAGAGCTGGCCTGGGAGAGGGTTTATTTCCTAGGCTAGTCTGAGAACAGGGGCTCTGCTGCACTGGGCTTTGTATTGCCAGGGCCTGGCACCTAGCGTCCATAAAGTGTGGGGGCATTTAGATCCTGGAAGGGTTAGCAGGAGCTGGGGGAGGGGGAAAGTGGACTCTTCACACTCAGAAACCACAGAGGCAGAGCCCTGCGAGTTCGTGTTCCTTCAGTTTCTTGGTGGCGCGTTGCTTGGGAAGTGAGCTCTGCCCAGCGATGGCCTCTCAGGAGCCTGTCGTCCCTGCGCAGCCCCTCGGCTGCTGCTTTGTCCTTGTAGCGGTCCCTTGGCCGTCCAGTGGGCAGGCTTTAGGACAGACGCATTGCTTCTCGGCCTGTTGGCTAAGGCCAGGTGTAGAATAAAATGCAGTCGGTCACCTCTACTTGCTGTTCTTGAAAACAGCTCTATTTCTTTTGCGGCTAAGAAAATGGATAGTGGAGTGTTATACAGGCTTGACAACATGCCTGTTAGATACCTGGTTCCAGGTTTCTTACTGTGGTAGAAAGACCCCTGGGGCTTTTATTTTGAGACTTAGAGTCTTAAAATCTGCCCCCCTTTTTGGACGTAGCCTGTAGATGAACTCAAGGCCCTAAAAGTCACCCAAGC